CCTACTCTACTTTTCTGAAAGGCTGGGCCTGGGCTGGGCCAGCCTGGCCCATTTACACCCCTACTTGGAGGTAACTTGGTTTCTTGGAAAAGTAAGAAACAAAGTGTAGTTGTCAGATCAAGTGCTGAAGCAGAATATCGCTCCATGGCCAACTCCACCTGTGAACTTATCTGGTTAAAACAACTATTGAAGGAACTCAAATTTGGAGACATTGGCACAACATCTCTCATTTGCGATAATCAAGCTGCTTTATATATTGCTTCAAATCCAGTGTTTCATGAAAGGACCAAGCATATTGAGATAGACTGTCATTTTGTTAGAGAAAAAGTCCTCTCTGGAGATATACTCACTAGTTTTGTTAACTCAACTGATCAATTAGCTAATGTTTTCACTAAGTCTTTGAGAGAGCCTATGATAGATCACTTATGTAACAAGCTTGGTGTATATGATCTATATGCTCCAACTTGAGGGGGAGTGTTGTAAATAATAGTTTAGAATAGTAGTATAAAAGTCCCATATCATTTATATCTCTTTGTATTTTCTTTCTTTTAAGTTATAAAATAGACTCTCCGCTGTGTAGTTGAGACTCACATATTACTTATAAATTTCCTTGTTCCTGATATTCAACATTTCATAATTTGAAGTTATTTTTCCATCAATTTTTTTACTTTCAACCAAACATAGACTCAGTAAACTTAACCCAATTTTTCTGGTAAAATTTCGGCCAATCAAACAACTTTTTTTCAACTTCCCTATCAAACTCATTTTCCCACCAAATTTATAGTAATTGTATTTTTCTGCTAAAAAAAATTTATCCTCTACCAAATGCCCCCTAAGGATAAAAGATAATAGATGCACCCGATTACAATATTTCAAGCCAATAATGTAGACAAAGAAAACATTTATAAGAATGTTCATAACCCTTACATTAGGCTTTAGATCTAGGAGTGGATCCTCTCGTGTTATTTAATATAATCATGTCATGTGGGAGAATTATAATCATACAAAAGTAAATTAATAATAATAAGGAAAGAGAGAAATAAAAAAATATATTAGAATAGATAATTACAAAATCATCACCATTAATTCATCCTTATATAGTCAGGATTGTCACACAAAACATAATCACGTTAAATAATATTTTAGAATTAGTCCAATTCCTTGGGTTCCACCTCAATATAACCTTTTGGGGGCACTCTAAAATCAGGGAATATCTTTTAGAAAGAACCAATCACTTCATGATGATAGCAACAATAATTCTCTCTTATTCCCTTATAATTAAAGATTGTAAAATTTTAATTGTCTCTCATATTGACTTGAATGTGGAAGCCTCTTGACATGCACATCCTTTATTGTGCCAATAAAGCATTATCCGCGAACACCAAATAAGAAGATCCAATAAAGCATATCTTCAACATTCAGGTGTCTTTACTGAAAAGTTGTGATGCTTGCTTGATATCTGAATTTTGTTACGAAGAAAACTCCTTCATATGCAATCCATGATCATATATTAAATTCATTATATGACAACTCCTCATCTAACTTTAACGAAGGATATTTATTTTGACCACATAGATACAATTGAGCACAAAGCTCCTCCATCAAGGAGTTACAATAGGCAAACATTCAGGTCTCTTCTTTGAAAATTTCCATATCATTTGATTGAAAGAAGATAATAGAATGTCAACTTTACTGTTTGGCTTTACTTTTCTTTCATTGCTCCCAAAAATTAAACATTCGCGGCAAAAATATAATAAAAAAAGGTCACATTTTAGAATTCAGTGAGAATGGTATAAAATAGGGCTATATAACAATTTAATTTATTTGAACTTTAAAAAATTAATAGAAAAATAGAGAAATTTCATGGTCTCACACTCTCATGAGCCGCAAGCCCCCGCTTTAACGAAGGATATTTATTTTGACGATATAGATGCAATTGAGCACAAAGCTCCTCCTCCAAGGAGTTACAATATGTGAAGATTGAGAAATGATTTTGAATTTGAATTGATTTTGATTCACGATTTTTGTTGATAGTTCTTTAGGATATATTTACATTTAATGATATTACAAACATATTCATATTATTTTTATCTATGAGAAATTATCTATCTTTCTCCGTTTTTAATTTATGATATAAAGAGTTTTTATTTTGTAGTTTTTTATTGCTAATTGCTAACTGATTGCTGATAAGAGAGAGAGAGATATAATATGTTCTTTTTTGATTAATTTATTCATTTTTTGTATTTTTTTCTTTTAAAATTTAGAATAAAGTTTATTATCATTTATTTAATTATTAAAGGTCATAACCATTCACACAGGATATAAGACCCATTTGATTAAGGGTTCAAAGAGCCCAACAAATAAGACTTCAAAGCTAAGAAAATGTGATCATCCCATATATATATAATATATGATATTCACAAAAATATTGACACACGACATCAGTAGCTCAGAAATCTGCAGCAACTCTAAAAGTGAATGGTTACACACTTGATTCCAACTACACCTATAAATAAACATAATGCACACGAGATAATTTGCAGAAGTCATTTCTAAGCACCAAAGAGATTAAATGTAGCCATACTAAGTCAACATAAGTAGGGCAATCTATCACTTTATAAATAGAGGCTAGAAACTCAGGTATGATAATATATTCTATCTGAACAAAAACTCATAACTTATATACTGATTTGAGTGTCATAGTGCCTTGCAGGTATCCCCAATTGTCCTAGTCAATCAAAACATTCTATCTCAAATCCCGCGTATCGTAGAGCATTCTATAAGATTATATAGATCATCACTGACACTCTCTTACCACATTCATTATAGTAAAAGTCCAACTAAGCCATTGGACTAGATTCAATTGTATCTGATTTAGCCCAATTGATATTGGACTAATCAATCGTCTTCTTTGATCTCAAATTTAATTGTCATAGATAATAATTAATAAATTCAGAGTTTTTATTTTATACAAAATTTGACTAATCTAAAAAACTTATTTTTGTTCTTTAATATTTTAAAATAAAATATTACCAGATCAAAGAGTTTAAATTTATAACATGTTCTATATGTATATCATGCTAAATTATAATTTAAACATACATTAAAAATATAAAAACCTTGCATTTCACCAGCTATTAATTAGTTCAAGAAGAGTTTACCAAAAAAAATATAGTTCAAGAAGAACATTCCATGCAATGGGCGACGACGAAAGGTTGAAAAGCTTTGTTGGACAAATAACGAAAATAGAATCAGAGAACAGCTGAACTTTTAGGCATGTGAACAGTATCATGTGTTTTGTTTTCTATTATTTGTCTATTATAATAAGTTTTAATTTCACAATTGCGTGGCACCTTCGTTGGCCATCACATAATTATGGTGTTCAATCTCATCACACTTCATATCTCAATTACTCACCTATATCTTAATGGAAGTTTCCTACCATAATGGTACCACAAAGGAGAAATTTCATTTTTCATTAGTTGTTAAAATCAAAATTTTAACTAAAATTAGAAGGGGGTTAAAAAATCGTAATGTAAAAAAATCGTAAAAACATAAAATCGCAGTGATAAATCGAGATCTTAACAATTATGATAACACCATCGTGTAATCATATTAACATATTACAAAAAAAAATTAATTTAATAATAATTATTTAAAAAGTGAAACTCTTATAATGACGTATTAATATGATTAAATGCTTGTATTCAAAAAACTGTTATTTTGGGTAAGCTCATGATGTAACAGGATGATAACCTATCATTTCATCATTAAACTTATGTACCAAATCTCATTGATTATTATTATTTTCTAATTTTGGGTTTAATACCAATTGTAATCCAATTACTAATAATCACCATAAAAAATGGATAGTAATAAGTAATAACTAATAATTTTGAAGATAATCTAAGAGAGAAGGAAAAGTGAAAAGTCAATCCTTTCAACTTGAACTTCTAGAAACTCATTTATTTAAAATAAAACGATAGAACCAATGAATATATATATCCTTCTAGATATGAGGAATATGCCATTGTTGCACCTGTTCTTCTTGTATTCTTTTTTTTTTTTTTTTTGAAAACGTTCTTCTTCTTGTATTCTATGTCCTACAAAAACATCACAAATATGCACGCGTCCAGAGCGTGTGTATGACTCACAAGCAAGTCAAAGTCAAGTTTGTTCAGCGCGTGAGCGCGTTGAATGTAGACGCCTCCAAATAATTAAAAAAGAAAATCCCTAATAACATATTTATTATTTGACCAATAACACACGAATACTTAAAACAAAAATGTGCAAAAACATAGTAAAATAATTTAAAAACTTTATTTGGCAATTGTTGTATATCAATGCCGCCCCGGTTAACATAATTTTTTTTAGTGGGTCACTAAAAATTTTTATATCATAAAATTATGACTTTAATCTTTCTAAAATGAATGTAGATAAGTTATTTACATTCGTTCTCAAAACGACGTCGTTTTAGATTGAAAAATTAAAAAATTATAATGAAAAAGATTATTATAACCCTGAAATAAATTATAATTATAAAAATACATTGATTTCTGCCTCAAAACGATGTCGTTTTAAGCTTACTATAGTTAAGTTATCTACATGTAGAAAAAGCGAGCCCTAAAATTATATATAAATAGAAATAAACACAACCATTTTATACAAATTTTATAAAAATAAAAATTAAACACATAATTTAATATAACCTACTCAAATTTCAAAGAACAAACCGAGTGAAAATTTTATAAAGTTTGACGAGGTTTATGAACACAAACATCATGATGAGGTTGCATCATGGAACTTCCATCCATCCACATCCACTCTTATTTACTTGTCTCAAAAGCTAAGCACCATGCAAGTTTCACATTTTCTCTCCCTCTTTCTCAAAAATAAAATAAAATAATTAATATAAATGGTTCTTTTCAAAATAAAATTTATTTAAGAAAATAAAAATAATAATATAATAAGACAAAGGTGAAATGTTTGGTTTATTTGAACTTTGAAAAATGAAAATGATACGTTCGTGAAGGCTAAGGATTTCTGATTTTGTTGGGTTGCGCGTTGAAGTTGAAGCGCGTTTGAACCAGCTCTTCCATCGCGTACGGTGGCCGGCGACTTCCGCCGACGGGTCTCTCTCTGGCCAAGGTTCTGTGGACTGGAAGCTTTCTTTTATCTCAGCTTATTACAACACACTCTTCTTCTTCTTCTTGGTAAGTTCTATGATTTCTAAGGAGATTTTATTTTATTTTAATTTCCATGGCCCCCAAAAAAAAAAAAAAAAAACATAAATTTAAGTTTTTTGTTTTTATCATTTATTGAGGACGTTGAGTGGTGGAGGCGACTTTGATTTTTAAAGTTTCTAATTTATTGAACTGGAAAAGTTAATTCACGTGATGTTATGGTGATTTAATGTTTAAGGCACTGTCTTAGTTCACAGAAACCTTTCTTTAGTTTGGGAAATTTTGCCTTAAAACTTTTCTAAGTTTTGGTAAAAAGCAGCTAGTGAGGGCTCTCAAGTGATTAGAGAGGTAAATGCCATTTTTTTCTTAATGTGTTGTTGTGGTTTGTTTGATTAGTCAGGAGTCAGGATAAAGATTTTGTTTTTTAGGTTTTGCAAATGAAAGGGGACCTGCTAACACTGGGTATTTTAAGGGCTCTGAAGTTTTCTGTAGGTTTCCCCCTCTTAGAATAGAAGGCCATTGAGTAAGTTCTTGAGGGCTCTTTTAAATTGTGAGAACAAGGATCTATGTACCAAAAAGGGAGGGGGGAAAAATGGCTTTTAAGGGCTATTTGCAGTCATTGAAATTTTCCAATCACAAAGCCTTTTATAGCAGACGTGCATAAATTCTATTTTGCTTAGGATATTATATTGCTTTCGTAGGTTAAATTCCATTGCCCCTGCCTTAAGTGGAATAGCTTAGTTTATATGCAGTTCTGATGGTCTAAATAGTGACAGTTTTATCATAATATGGTTTTATCAGATGTAAATAGGGAGGCAGCATTGCTATCTGCATGTACTTCTAACTCATTCAATATTTTAATTGTACGCCGGTTTCGATCCGAGATCTTCCTAATTGAAAGACATGCTCTAAACCAATGAGACACTTTGGAAACCGGCAACTCATTCAATATTATGCTTAAGGAAAATTTATTCCGTCCATAGGATAAAAGGCATTTACACGCATAGTTACTTCTATAGCCTGCTTGCTATGTCTTGCTTCTCTTTGCCTTGTAGTATCTTCAAACAGGAGTACACCCTACTGGATTTCAGTTTCAGGAACTCTACACTTGTTGTCAAAGTCGTCCATAATTCTTCACCTGCATATAATTAGAAGACATGTTCATTTATCTTCTTCAGCGTCCTTGTTTTTTCTGTTTTGTTATTAGCTGTCATCTCTGTCATCATGTAATGTGAAATTGTGAATGTTAGTTGCCTGCAATATGGTTAGAGAACTCCTTGTCTTATTCTTTAAGATAAATTTTGCTTGTGCCATCTGATCGTTCTTGCTCAATTTAAGTATGTAGAATCAGATATGCATTTTGAATTTTGAATCATAGTTTCAGCTTCATGCTTGCTCATGTCCTGCTTTTGTTTCATTTCATAGCCCTCTGGCATCTCAATGATGACACCAGAATCATCAAAGGAGATGGAAAAACGTGCAATCTCAGGTCATCATGTGAAGGGGAATAGTGAATATGTTAGACTTGTCATGTCTGATGAACCGAGCGCTGTTGAAACTGAAATGCTACAGCCTCAAGCAGAATCAAGAATTGAATCTTTCTGGTGGTGGATGAAAACCTTTTTATGGTGCTTTGTCATTGTTATACTTGTTTTTGTTCTAGTAAAATGGGTGGTGCCATTTGTTTTTGAAAAGGTACTTCCTCTTACTTTACAATTATCACTGGGTATGTGGGCTTCACAATTCTTATTCAGAAATTAACCAATATGGTGTTGTTTGGCTATCATTGATTATTTGATATTGATAAAGTTATGGCATTCCTGTGTCACTTTCAGGCTCCTAACTTCTTCAACTGAAATATTTTAGATGAAAATGATATTTGAAGTTTGGCATTTTCCTTGGCATCGGGTTTTTATGTATTTGGTTATTAGTTTAAAGAGCTACTAGCTCTGTGCTCTCTCCCACTTCACATAAATTACATGGCATCAGTCCACAGTATACTATGCTTTAAAGTTTATCCAATGTGATGAAGAATTTTTTGGGGAACTGAATTGATATCGGATCTCATATTATCAGCGTGACATTATTTAGATTAGCAGAAATACTGGGGTTTTTAAATTATAACACCATTGTTATTTGACTTGACAGCCAATTAGTTTGTTGTTCCATAGATGAAATTCAATAGAGTAATAGCTAGGACTCTTTTCCTGCAAGTCAGAAGGAATTTCTGCTTCCTCACCGTCCCCTTCCCCCCTCTTTTTCTTTTCATTTTCCCTTGTTTGCAGATATTTGAAAGTCCTTATGAGCATTATATCTTGAAATACCTTATGATAATAAACTTGAAGGGATTGGGGAATTACCTAAACATTGATATTTTTGCTATTGCCTATGATGTAGCTTACATTCTATAATCTAATTCTTGTGGAATGGCTTACATTAATTCATATTTTGTAGCTTCTTTACCCAATGATGGCATGGGAAGCTACTGCCTTTGGCCGTCCAGTTCTGGCCCTTGTACTAGTTGCTTCTCTGGCTTTATTCCCAGTATTTTTGATCCCTTCTGCCCCTTCCATGTGGTTGGCTGGGATGATGTTTGGTTATGGGCTTGGCTTGGTTATAATTATGGTTGGAACAACTATTGGGATGGTCCTCCCTTATCTAATTGGACTAGTGTTCCGTCACCGCATTCATGTAAGTCATTTTGTTTCTCATATGATCACAAGCCAAGTCTTCTTAAATTCAGTGTTGATTTTATTTTTAAGTAGTTTATAACTTTCTGTTTATGATCCTTATTGCTATATTGTGCAGCAATGGTTAAAGAGATGGCCCCGGAATGCCGCAATGATTAGGCTTGCCGGGGAAGGGGGCTGGTTCCATCAATTTCAAGTGGTTGCTCTGTTTAGAATTTCACCTTTTCCCTATACTATATTCAATTATGCTGTAGTAGTGACAAACATGAGGTTTTGGCCGTACTTATGTGGATCAATAGCAGGAATGGTGCCAGAAGCTTTCCTCTACATCTACAGGTTCGTTCCTTTTTATTTGCCCTTTAGGGTATGTTTGAATGGAGGCAGAGGTGGAGCTAAAAGATTTTTCTTGAGAGGGCCAAGTAAATAAATTTACATATTTTTTCAAAATAACTAACAAGTAAAAATAGTGTTTTCTAAAAAAAAATTCCTTTTTTTTTGGGAGGGGTGGGAGTGGGGGTGGGGATGGCCTGCTAGACCAATGGAGGGGTTAGAAAGGGACGAATAATTCTTAATTTTGAGTAAACATTGTCCTTATTTGATAATTTTTTGAGATATTATCCCCTCCTACCATTCCGAGCAAAATAAAATGAAAAAGTCAAAGGAAATAAAAATAATTGTCCGGAAAGAAAAAAAGATTATTAGAATATGGTAAAGAGAACATGTTACTTTGACCATTGTGGGGTTGGAGGACAAATTGGTCAGAGTCAAACTTCACAAAATTTGTTTGAGTAGGACATGTATGAATATGAGAACCAAACATGACTGAACCTATAACTTGTTTTCTTTATTAATCTGTGTTAATAGATTTATTTCTTTATTTTTTTTCTCATTTGTTAATGGTGGTCAATTTTGAGCAGTGGTCGACTAATAAAGACCTTGGCGGACGCAGAGTATGGGAAGCACCACTTGACCACTGTGGAAATTGTGTACAACATTGTTTCTTTCATAATTGCTGTTGTTACCACTATTGCCTTCACTGTTTATGCAAAAAGGACTTTGAATGAACTCAAAATAGCAGAAGACAATGAGGAAGCTGCATCTGTTTCTAGGAATGCTACTCTTGAGATGGAGAAGCCTTCCCATTGAAAGGCTTCTCATCAAATTTATCATAGATTCATAGTGTATATTGGTGTATCTAAAATTTGGTATAAGCTATATACATATATGATATACTTTCCCTCTTAGGCATGTAATTACTGAATGAGCATGTGAGACAGAAAAGCAAATGTGGTTATTTCGTTACTCTGTAAACCCGGATAAATTTTTGGTGTTACTGTTGCACTTAGATTCAGTGCATCTCACCAATAGGAGCATTATATATCAGAGGAGAGAAAAAAAATTTGGCAGAAGAAAGAAAACTTTGATTAACATGTAATATTTTTATTGGTGGGATGTACTGAATCTTTGGTGTAACAGTAGCACCAAAGATTTATTCAAGTAAGCCTATGCAAATCCACCAACGCATTTCAATTTCAATTAACCAATTGGGCAAACATAATAAGCGATATGTAATATTAAGTCAGAAAAATTCCTTTAAAGTGAACAATCTCTTAATTTTAAATTTTAGTATGTTAATGGTATGATGTATTTTAAACTAAATTAAGCATATGTCTATTTTTACTGACTTTAAAAACAATAAATTAAGAGTATTTATCACGATATTATCAGAGTTTAAAATTTTCTGTTGTGATAAAAAATGTTTACACTTTACACTAGAAAGCATGTAAGGCCTTAATTGAGTAACTAAATAATTTTCGTTGTAATAAAAGAATTGTATTGTAGAATCTGTTATATTAACTTTGGATCTGTACTATTAATGAGCTGATAATTCATGTAGACAATACACTTAGCACCAACGACAATTTTTTGCTGTGGTTTGTCTTGAGTTTTATGCCTACCTTTCCTTCTATGATTGTAATAAATTAAAGTTGAATTGAATTAATTTTTTTTTTTGCAATGTACTTTATTTTCCTTACTTGTACTAGCTTAAATGACTCAACTAATAGGGACAATAATATTAATTTTATCAATCAAAACTAAAATCAAATCAAACCCACTTAAATCCAACCAGCGCTGAGCATATTTCTATTTATAAACAACTTAAATATAAAAAATTTCATAATCAAATCAATACTTAACTTATAACTTTTTAAATAAAGAATTTCATTTACAAATCAAATCTAATTCTTAAATATTTCATTTCCAAAACACTATTCTATCTACACTCCATTAAGTTGGATAGACATGACAGGGCATCAGAATCTCAAACCACAATCTACTCTCACATCCTTTTTTTTTCCCCCCACTTCCTTATTTATTTTTATTTTTTATTAAGAACCAAAGTAAGTATTGTTTTCAACCTTTGTATTTGCAGTCTTTCTTCTACAATCATGATGAACTCATACTATATTAGATGTTATTTTCAATCTTTGTATTGATGCTAATTCATCTACAATCATGATGAATTCATGCTAGTGAATATTCTATAAATTATGTCTCTCTAAGGGAGCTTGGACAATGCGGGGAAGCTCTATTGTAGATGTTGTTGCATCTTCCATCACGATTATTGCTTGTTCATCACTTTGAGTATGTTGAGTTGATTCTTTGGTCATTTTGTGGGACGTGGTCTTCCTTGAATCCTGGGAGTCACCTTCAGATGATTCCACCTTATCACCAGAAGTTTCCTTTGGCGCATCGCCCATCTGCTCCCATTGAGTGAAGATTAAACCAAAGAAGACAAGCATATGAGAGTTTTGATCAAAACTTATATTGTGCTTTCGAAGAGTTTCTATGAATTTAATGGAGGAGGCATGTCCTTAGATTATCTAACCTGAGTTACAAGAGTGTATAGAGGCAAAGTGCTGTAACTACAAAGCACTTGAACAATTACACTGCATAACATTACCACCAAGCAATGAGATGAGAATACAGCAAATTGTTCTGAGCAACAATATATAGCTTGAGCAAAAGTATGTTATGATTTTTCTGTTACATTTTAAAAGAGTATTACCCCATTATAAGTCTTGGGATGATGTAGGCTATTTTCTCCATAATGCATGAATCAAATCCATACGTGCACTGCATAGGGGACAATACTTACTCTCAGAAAAAAATATTTATTCAAATGACTGAGGTTCACTTTTATATTGATTTTTTTTAACAGTAAAAAGTACAGTTGAAAATTATATTTGGTTTGATTTGAAAGGGAAGTTTATAGTGTAAATACTCACAAAAATCCAGAAGAAAAATGCAATCTCAAAAGAGTTTTGAAACAAAGTGAAGTGAAGTAAGTCAAGGACAAGAGCTGGACGACCAAACCAAAAGTAATCATTTGATGGCTTCACATGTGTAGGGGAACTTCCCTTTTCCATGTTTTCTCTTGACTCCTGGGCCAAACGAGCAATTATGTGCTCTAACTTTGCCCCCACGAGAAGTAGAATCTGTTTCATAAGAAAGCTGAATTAGGTCTTACTAATATCTCATTCTTCATTAGTAATGTTTATCAAAATATCCATTTGGAAAGAATTTTGTCACTTACTATCAATGGTAAAAAGGCTAACCAGAAATAAGTGTGCCACCCTGCATAGTAAACTCATAAGTAGGTCGATTTAAAACTACCATCGTTTGATTGAATATTGCTAAGCAGGACCCAAGGTATTACCTTCAAGATTCAACAGCAAAAACAGCACAACAAAGAGCCACAGGTACCAGCTATGGTAGGTGAAACAATTAAGAATGGTTGGCTTATAAGTCAAATTTTCTTACAATAAACTAAAATAGATAAACATGTTCAAACTCTCACCTTATGCCTACAACTTTTCTGAAGTCAATTTCGAGTGTACGCGTCATGTACTTGTGAAAATCATAATCAGGCTCACTTGGGTAGTGTTTCTGGAAAAGGTTACATGTAATATAATTTATTTTATGTCCACATGATGAAATTAATTATTCTCCAAGAGATTAAGTATATACTATATGACCGGATCATAACCTTGATAAATCCATGCCTCAGTGCAAGGTAGTCGGATTTTGTAACAGAGCCATAAAATTGCTTAAAGAATGACATCTGCATCACAAAAATGGCCATCTTGCAAGGATAACATTCTCATTTTATTTTTATTTATCAAATACATGTTAGCCTATATCTTCCATGATAATGTATTAGTTCATTCAATCCATTTCAAGCAGGCATACTTATTACTATAGGTTAAAGTTGAAAGAAGACTAAGGTTTTGAAGAAAATCCACATTTAGAATTCCAAGACTTACCAGCCAACCAACAACAGCTGTTCTTCTCCAATATCCCTTATCATGTTTTTTGAAGAACTCATGGTGACTTTGACCTGCATCTGAGAAAAAAGCTAGAAAGTTAGAATCTAAAAAGATAATTCTTTTCATTTTCTTATATATAGATTATCTAGAGTTTCAGATTCATACCTCTTGATTTTTTTATACCATCCTCCCAGCTCTTCCACTGGCGCATCTACACAAGGTAAAATTAAACATCATTATGCTGCAAATCATGAATGGACTATTATTTTACTAGTAAGCACTAAGCATATATCAGCTTCAACCAGTATCATATGACCAATTTATTATTACCCTTGCACCTCCAAGAATCATTGTGGTGACACAGAATAGTGCATGTACAACGGCCAATACAAAGATGAAAATGTGAAGTTGGTGTAGTGATTCTAGTGATAACAATGGAACCTTCCCCTGCACAGGAAAAAGAATGGAATGTATTATAAAATAATTTGTTTGTGAATGCAAATATTATTACGAAATAAGGGTACTCTTTCCTTCATTTTTATTGATCTATTATCCAATATTGTATTATAATCTGAGTTTTCAATTATCTGGACTGAATAGTTATTTTTTCAAGTTTTCAGGATTCCAAAATGGTCTGTTAGTAACGTAATAGAAACTTTAATAAATCAAAATAAAATTATTAGCTATTACCTGTTGCCTACAATGCCCTGCACCAGTTTCTGTAGAAAAAAGCCTTCTTCTGTTGATTATAGTATCATAGTAAATCTGGTCATGCTCTGAACCTTCTGAAGACCCATGAGGCAACTTGCATGGAAGCATTTTGGTTGCAAACTTAGGTTGGATGCAAAAATGGCTTATTAGACCTTGGAAGACGGTTAATAGAAGGGAAATGAACCCTAAAACCATCAATTCTGGTGAAAGCATAAGGTACACACTGATTAGGCTAAAGAATCATATTAGAATGGTCATCTACAGAAAAAGTATTAATGTAAAATTCAATAGCAATTGAGTGCAAAGATTGTGTTTTCCACTTAAAAATACAGCTATTACTTCAGAAGACTCAATCCGGAGTCTTTGGATTTGCTGTCACTTATTTGGACAATTTAATTCTTTGAGGAATTAGATTACACTGATGTCAGAATAATATTCTTTACAGGTCAAAATGTTAGCATAAAAAGATTATATGATGCGCCAACACATCATACAATAAAACTTTGTACTTGACTATGAATCAAAATCAAACTTATAAAAGAAACTACCTTCTTCCAATTTTTGTAAGGCTTCATTTAATGCATTCTGCTTCTTGCGCTTCAAGTACTGTAACATCCAACCCAACAAACAACTCATCATGAACGAATCAAGTTATCTATATACAGTTACTGTAGTCTTGCATTGCTTATGCTTGCTGTCATGGAACCACAATGCTAATACTACTAGCCTTACATTGTCTCCTTAAGCCTTACTATTTCTTGAATAACGTATATGATCATCTGAACAAAACTTGTTTTAGCCAAGGATGTCTAATTTCAAGCCCCTCCTCACCAGTAATATAAGAAAAAAAAATGGCTTTGAATTCTCAAAGGCTTGAAAACCAGCTTATCAATAACATCATGTGTCCCCTACAACACAAAGAGAGATGAAAACAATGATATGTATTAGTTTACCTTTCCAAGCCGGTGAAGGGCACGCGCAACACCAAGAGAGATGAAAACTATAATGGAGCAAACAGCTGCGACAATCCATGTTGGTGTATATTCCAGAGACTGGTTCAGTTCTTCTGCCATGTTTTTTTAGCACTATAGTTTGATAGAGTGATGAGTTTATGACTATTCTTTTTTTGTTTAATATATATATTTGGCCTGAAAGTGATGGGAGTCAAGGAAACCATATTCTGCAGACTTAATGTATACCAGACAGCAAGCAAGGAATGTTTGCCAAGGCATCAAGGTATACACAGCTCAATGAAGTTGGCATAAAAAGGGGAACAAGATTCTAGAGTGCTTGTCACGTGTAGTGTGAAGGATTGACTAATAAAATAAGATAGCTTGTTTCACACCCATGGTGTCCATATACCAAACATAAACACCTTACACATCCACATTGCGAAACAAAAATAAATCTATAAATTGTGAAGTGTAGAGATTTATATTTTATTTATTTTAAGGAAAAAAAAAAAAAAAACTTACATATATTTAATGGAAAGGGCAACATCATTCTCATCCTGAAACACGAGGTGTGCCATCGTCGTCAGAGTGAGTGGCGTGTCCTTGTTCCTTTTTTTTTGGGTATACTTCCTTATCTCTTTTTTATGGTGTTCAAAGTACATAAAAAACAACGGTTATTTCAGGCACGCTACCGTCCAAATAAGGAGCATGATGACTTCTAGCAGCTACAACTATGTTTATGCATACATAGATCCACTGGCACAGTATTTAGAACAGCTTAATGTCTATCTACCAAAATAGAATGAAGGGAGAATCCAGGCTCAACAAGAAAAAGTTTTAAATACAGGTAGAAGGAAAGAGAAAGCCTCGAGTAAATCTGTAAAAACATTAGATGAAACTGTCAAACAATTACAAGCTGTTCAGTTTCCATGTTTAAAGAATACAAGATTTGACTTTGATACATATATACTATGTATATCACAAAAAAATTACACAAAGAGACACTCTCAAGAACACTTTATCAATTCTAAATGCTAATCTTGAGTCGATCATTGGCCGCAGCCAACTAGATTCACAAGGCCGTGCTCTACTTCCATTTCCCCATGCCCTTTGTCTTGAAAATTACCTTGATCTTCCAGTTGATAGAAAATAACAGAACTTATCAATGCACTCAAGTCATTTGGGGTACTTGCTGGAAAACGAAAACAAATGGCATGACGTCTTATGGTTTCCATGGTGCCGGAGGTGGTGGCGGTGTAGGAAACATTGGGGGAACAGCAGAGAAAATGGTATTTTTGTCAATAGTTGTGCTTTTGTCACCTGACAATGCCACAAGTGCCGCTACTAAACCAGCATTTCCAGCAACAGTTGGTTCTGTGTAATTGTAATTTGTACGAACATCATGGAAGCCATCATGCTTGTCAGGACCAGCAACCATGGCACCAACAATTGTATTTGGGTTCGGGTTTGGTGAGTCCCTCCATTTCCATCCACCTTTACAGTTATACTTAACCTTGTTCTTTGGTATAGACGCACCTCTATGGTGGACATGTTTTGGATAATGATTACCAAAACCTACTACGTAGCTCATTTTTCGAGGATTCTTCCCAAGGATGTAATCAATCTGCAAAAACACCCACAAAAGGGAAAAATGATAAATTAGCCCAGACACCTCATTGTGAGTTCATTATGCGAGGAAGGGTTGGATCCCAGAGATGTCTCACTTAAAGGAGCAGAATATCACACACCTGGGTCCTGGCAAAGTCACGGAGAACATCAGTTGAAAAGAAATTAGGTCCACAATACCATCCGGGTGTATCAGCAGCATCAAGATAATCACTGTATACGGCAGCCAGAAAGGCAGCATTGACAACATATTGGAGAGGCTGAGGCCTTCCATGGTTTAATTGAATCAAGCCTCCTGGGGGCATAAAATACCAACATTTGCATCAGAATAGAAATTGGAAAATCATTAATTCTGGTGCTCAATGAAAATGTTTGAAGGAAGAATTGTTACCTTTGGTTCTATTAAAGCTTGTGAACACCGGTAGGTAAGAGCACATAACTATGCTGGTCTGATTATGAAATGTCCTTAAAATTTCTTCATATGGATACCCAGGACTCAAGAACAACCTCAAACGACTCAGAAGAACCTAAATACAAGATTACATTATCAAATTAGTCAAATGACACTAAATCGCGTGATATTAAGATCCACTTGAAAGGGAACATCCTGGGAAGGCCAGAAGAGAGAGAATTGAAGAGGAATAATGAGGAAAGGCTAAAGTGTAGAGTTGAACTGAGAAAAATATTATTGGTATACAACTCTAAACACCAATTTGTCTATAGTCAAGGGGGGGAAGTTGTTAAAAGCAGTAAAACATTACATAGCAGAGCTTATGGCACATACAAAGGCAAATACTATCCAAGAATCAGTTGCAATCACACAAAAATAGGATAAATGAAACTTGATAGAATTAAAATATAAGAATTTCTGGAAAAAATAATTCCAATTCAGGAAGGATTAACCAAACAATTTAAAAATGTACAAAGAGTGGTTAATGGGTTAATCATATAACGATTAATTAACAACATGTTTGGTTAGTTGTTACAAAGCAGTAAGGTAACAGTTACCAGGAATTTCCTAAATAATAATTCTCCCATGAAAATTTCAGTCTACAGACACCAGAAAACTGAGTTTTGCAGCTTAAGGACAGAGTATTGAAACTGCATACAGAAGCTACCAGAAACACCACAGCTGTCAGGCAACTATGATGATTTTTTTCAGATGGATGTCTTCTTGTAAAATGAAAAAGCAAACAAAAAAGCACTTATAAATTCATCATATCAATTCTGGTAAGAAAACTAAAAAGACTTTTAACTTCTAGCTGTTGTCAGTTGATGTTAATATAATTTCCTAACCACAAACCAAATCAAATTGAGCATGTTACAATAAAGAATCTCATAGAAAATTACCTGAGCACCAGCAAGCTTGTTATCCCAGCTAAATACCCCATAATCAGGGCCTCCCCAGAAGGCACCGGCATGCTTTGCCAGGCCAGGAGTAGTAGCAAGCTTAAGGTATGAGGAATTCCCAGTGGCGTAATACATCCAAGCGCCTCCCCAAACAAACTCATCCCAGTAGCTAGTGGAATTGTAAAATATCGCAGCTTCCGAACTACCTGCACTGTATCTGCCTCTCTGTTCCCTTGAAAACTTAAAGAGCGTGGTGGCACCATGTACAAGCTTCTTCGAATAGGCTTTGTTGTCTTTGAAAACAATGGATGCAGCAGCTAAGGCAGCAGCCATTTCTGCCGCAAGATCCGAGCAACTTCTACACTCAGTCACTGGTCGATCATAGTCAATATCCTCCGGACGCATCCAGCAGTAATGATCATTTTCACTTGTACTCCCTCCAGAAGTATCCCCTATCCCAACCTGTCAAATAAAGCAACCATCATATATAGCAAATTTTCTCAAACATGCAGCAAAATGAGAAATTTCAAATTTGTGTAGCTAAATCCTCTCTTCTTATCCAATTTATCAAACATAAAGCTCATCCTATGTGGATCTAGAGAAATGTCCCACCCATTTCATTTTTGCAAAAGGCTGATTACATAAATCCAACATATTAGAGAATTAAAAAAAACATGATTTTTACCTGTGCAGCAAGGGTAGTAATGGTATCAGCAGAATTATTGAAGGTCTTGAGAAAGTAATCAGTACCCCATTTAATAATATCCTTAACATGATCAAGCTCACCAGCAGCTTCATACTTAGCACTGTATTCAATAACACTCCAACTCAACATGGTAATGGCAAAAGATTGAGGGAAGTTGAACTTAATAGCATCCCCGGCATCATAATATCCACCAACCAGATCCTTTATGGAAGATGATGAAGTACCAGAAGCCTTCCCATCTTGCAAACAAGAGTTACCCCTCCACGAAACATTATTATGCTTAGGCAATTTCCCAGCTGCAAACACACACAAAAAAAAACTAATTAAAAAAAAAATTGAAATTGAAAACACATTATGATTATTATTATTATGAAGAAGGGTTAGGGTTAAAATAAAGATAATACATTTTTGGGCGTTGAAGAACATGAGGGTCTTGTGAAGAGCGAGAGTGTAGTTATCGGGTGGAGGGTGTTTGTGGTGGTGGCGAGGGACGGTTTTAACGATGAGGGTTATGAATCCGGCGATGAAGGCGGAGACGAGAATGGTTCCGAGGGTCCAAACGAAGATCTTGCGGCTAACGATGATGCAACCGAGATCGACGTACTTCTTCTTCTTCTTCTGGTCGGTGGGTCCCAGTAACCAGCTCTGCTGTGTCTCGTCGAGTGGACGTGACAGCGCCGCCCTGTCGAGGTCGTTAAGGTTGCGGCTGCGGTCATCGTCGGTGGCAGAGTCGGTGGCGTTAATTTCCAGCGGACCACCCCACGGATCCCTACCGTACATACTCATCTTCTTCCCTCAATTCAAACACAATACAATTCCCAATAATGCAACAACTTAAATGATGATCACACTCTACTATAGGAATGGAACACACACACACATACAAACACTCTCTCTCTCTCTCTAGCTTTCACTGTTTCTTATTTAGTTTCTCTCTCTATTAGTGGGTTGAGCAGTGGCAGTGGCTGTGGCTGAGCTAAGAGTCCATGGTGCTGTTTTCTTCTTCTCACATTTCATTCTTTTTATATCAATTTTGTCTATTTTTTTATTTTTATTTTAAGGTAGGATGTAGAGTTAAGAGGCCTTGGTTAGGACCTAATTCAAAATTTGAAACATTTTTTTTTTAATTCTTTTGAATACTATTCACCTATTTAATTTATTTAATGCGAGTGAAACGTAGTTGAGAGATTTTAGTTGAGTATCACGATCACCCATATTTGATTTGTACAAAAAAATCAGTGTATTTTTTTTTTTTATAACAAAAATCAGTGTATTTTAATGCAATACAAGATGCATATTTGGCATCTATGTAGCATCATACAGGACAGAGTTTGGAATATTAATGTTGTTAAAATTGAGATTTTAAATAAAATCGAAAGGAAATTAAAAAATCGTAAAACATAAAATCGTAATGTAAAAATTCTAAAAAATCGTAAAAATGTAAAAGCGTTTGGAATATTAGTAAAATCGTGTTGATGAAAAAAAATTGTAAAAACGTAAAATCGTAGTGATAAATCGAGATTTTAACAACTATGCATGATATGATACGATACTCTCACACGTTAATTTTAAAAAATGTTAGTTTTCGACACGTTAGGACACGTTTTGATATTAACTAATATTTTTTAATTTATGTAGTGTATATTATATTTAATATTCAATAATTTAACAAAAAAATAAAACTAAACTTATAATAACAATCAATTTTACAAAGAAACATAATATATTCTAAATATTTATATTAAACTCAATAAAATGATAATCGTAATCCAACGAATATAATAGTTGAAACTAAAAACGCAATGCAACATATTGTTTGAACTTTTTTTTAAATTTCTACAACACATGTTAAAAAATCAAAAAGTGTCAAAATATCAACAAGTATCGGACACGGCACGTCAAAATTGAAATACCACGGGTTCGTAATGGCATTGCGCGTTTAACTGGCACACCCTAAAAGTGTCTTGCAGATGACAAATGTATTTTGGTTTTTGTAAAAGTCACGCGTTTACATCAGTTAAATCCACACATTTTTCATATACATTTTATTTGTATTAAATTAATAAATAATATTATAAAATAAACAGATAACATGAGACTACTCGTATGATTTTAAAACAAGTAAAATAAAAAAAAAATAAAGTAATAATGATTTAAGAGATAAAAAGGTAAATAAAGAGTATTGTGGAATTTAATTATAAGTGATTTCCTTCATTGGTTGAATTAGAAATTAATAAGTTGAGAAGACAGATATTTCTGGACATTTTCTTAGGTGGCTGTGGATGGTAGTGACGGTGCTTCCTTGGTGCTGCGTTCTCTCATGGGGGTTGGGATTTTGCTTTCAGATTTCTCCACTTTTTCTATTTTTTTAATATAATTTTGCTTGGAAAATTAGATTAATTAGGTTGAAGACAGTGACCAGTCCACTAATCGACACCGACACTCTGTCCGAAAACCCAACATAAAAATACAAAAATTAAAAGAAAAAAACCCAACATACTGTAATATTATATAATAGTTATTTTTTGGGGATATTAAATGTTTCGTACAAATACGTTAACTGCTGACTGTCAGAATGTGTTCCTATTCCAACTAACGGTTTATAGATAATAGATTTGTCACTGTTCGCAAGGCCAAGGGAATTAATGAGCTATAATGCAATGGATACCCAAATCATCCACTTACTAGTATAATATAAAATCATAATGTTTTATACAAAAATAATAATAATAATAATAATAATAAAATCATAATGTTTACCATTTCAAGAAAGGACGGAGTAATAATTTTTATTAAGATATTAGGTACGGAATTTTATAAAGTAAATAGTGACAAAGGAATATGCCATTTCTTTTATTTTAAATTAAAAGCATTACAAATCAACCAACCATAACGTTTTTTAACTTTAGTTTCAACCAAAGGTTTGCCGACACTACAAGATATGATAATTCCTTTACCTGCTTTTCTCTCTCTCTCTCTCTCTCTCTGACGTTTGTCTTTAGACCCACCGTGGTTTTCTACTTTTCCTGTTTTATCGTTTATGCGCTTTTTCTTTTTAATCTCCCTCTTTAATATGGGTTTGGTATTTGTAATTTTAAATTACATAACTTATGTCATTTTAGAAAAGAGATAGGCACATAAAAACAAAAATCATGGGAGAGAAAAAGTGGGTGATTTTTTTTAATTTAAAATTTAAATTTTCTGTGTCTGTATCTCTCTTAAAATGACATAACTTTCTGTCATTTAAAATGACAAACACTTTTCTCCTTTAATATTAGAGTAAATATCTTTTTTTATCCTCGGCAAATTTTACGAGGTCCGCTGTAGTCCCTAACAAATAAAAAGACTATTCGTGATCTTTAAAAAATTCAAAATGGATCCATTTAGTTGAAATTGTGGTCCCTCACAAATTCAAAAAAGATTCACATTAATCCCTCAAAAAGATTAAAAAGGGTCCACTTTAAATTTCTTAGGGACCATGAATAGCTTTTTTATTTGCTAGGACTAAAACGAGCATCTATATAGCACCGATACTGACACGGGACACGTGACACGATATGATACGACACTTCGACACGTTAATTCTGAAAAATATATTAGATTTTGACACGTTATTACACGTTTTGATATTAAATAGTATTTTTAATTTATGTAGTGTATATTTTATTTAATATTCAATAATTTAACAAAAAAATAAAACTAAACTTATAATATTCATTAATTTTGCGAAGAAACATAAAATATCTCAAATATTTATATTAAACTCAATAAAATAGTAATCGTAATCCAACGAATCTAATAGTTGTAACTAAAAACTTAAAACAACGAAACCTTTTAACCTTTTTTTGAATTTTTATAACGTGTGTTGAAGTGTCGGAGAGTGTCAAGAAGTGTTGGACACGACACGTCAGAGTTTTTGAAGTGTCGGTACTTCATAAGCAGGCATCATAAAATTTGCTGAGGACCGAAAAGGATATTTACTCTTAATATTATTTGGGGTGGCCCAAACAAGAAAAAAACTATTTTACAAGATTAATTGTGTCCACTGTCAAAACTCAAAAGAGATTTGTAAGTTTGGTCTAATAATATTCATTGGGGATTGTATAAAAAGAAAAGAAAATTATTCACTTGGGGTTGATTTAATCAATTCTTTTAAGACTAAATATTGGGATATTAAGTTTAAATAATAAATTAATTCATGAATATTTGAAATAGACATCAATTAGGTTTTTTAGTATAGTTTTAAACATCAATTTAACTCTAATATTGATATATATATATATATATATATATATATATAATGTTATATTTATACATTTGTTTTTTACAAACTACAATATGTCTGACCGGTAATACACTTTTGATTAGAGTATTACCGGTCAGACATAATATAATTTGTAAGTTTGTAAAAAAAAAAGTCTATAAACAGATCCTGCCTATATATATATATATATATATATATATATATATATATATATATAAATGAAAAAAATATTTTCACAGTCACTTTAGATAAAGTTATCTATAGCTACCCAAAAACTACGTCGTTTTGATTAATGAATTGTGTTTGTGTAATTTTATGTGAATTAATAAAGGGTGTTTCAGTAAAATGTATATGATAAAAAATAAACAAAATTACAGAAACACTCTTCATTAATTCACCTAAAATTACAAAAATACCCTTCATTAATCAAACAAACCGACGTAGTTTTTCGGATAGCTGTAGATAACCTTATATATATAGTATATATATATATATATATATATAGGCTGTAGAAATATATTTTTTCATATATATATATATATATATATATATATATATATATATATATATATAGGGCTTATCGTTTCTCAAGCGGCTTGAGATAATGTTATCTCCGGCTACTCAATCATAACCGTACAAAGATGGATCAATGGTGATAAAGAAAAAGAGAGAAATATGGAATCATAACCATTCAAAGGTGAATCAATTAAAATAAGGAAATAAATAAATAAAACGACGTAGTTTTGAAGTGGCTGGAGATAACATTGTCTCAAGCAACTTGAGAAATGTTTTTCCCATATATATATATATATATATATATATATATGGGAATGTTATATTTACAACCTATTTTCGTTTAATCAACTGTTGATTTCCTTCAATCAACGGTTAAGATTTTCGCAAATCAAATTTATTAATTAATTATTAATCACAATAAATGACAACCGTTGATTGGCGGAAATCAACGGTTAAGATATGGTTGTAAGAGTTTGTAAACTATTTGGGTTGTAAATATAACCCTTCCCATATATATATATATATATATATATATATATATATATATATATATATATATATATTCTTTTTTAGAATTTAATTTTTTAATTCTGGACTCAACAAATTTATTAAAATTTAAATCTGAAAATAGTAAGCTGAAGATAAATAACATTAATATGAGAAAATCGCAAACATATCTATTTTGATTTTTTACCATAGTATTTCTATATGCATTACCGTACGTAAACTTATTTCATTAGAAAATATTGCAATTAAGAGAACTTCATAATAATTATTTCTCCTAATGTTCGAACCACAAAAACATTTAACTTAATAAATGTAATTTTTGTTTTGGTTCTTTTCATGTTAATAATCAGAAAAACCAAACCATAAGAAAAAGAGACATTTGACCAAATTGTTGAGAACTTGGAATGATACATCCGCACACGTTAATAAACATTGCCTCGAGGATCAGGTGCCACGTCTAGCTACGAGTACAGCATCAGAAAAGCACAATAACTTGTCTTGAAAGTAATTTACAAGAAGGCTTAATTTAACAGTAAGGTTGGGGTGTCCAATAATATACAACATCTTAAGTGGCTCTTTGACCCTTTTTTGATGTTTTAATTGTATTTGATTCACGTTATTTATTATTGGGAGTCATTTAATGATGCAAGAGGACCTAACATCATTGAGTGTCACGATTCTCTTCCCGCGTCACTTACATATTCTTTTTTTTTTTTAATTGAGTGATGACCTCTCCCCTGATGCACTCGTAGGGAGTGGCACAATCTCGTTAATCTTGTTACCATAAAATTTTAGAAGGTCATAATTTTTTATTCGGGTATCTAAATCAGATGATTTTTTTTTAATTTCACATAACTTTTCGAGATCTACGCAATGACACCTCATTTGACATATTTTATCTTCCATTAATATAGTTCAAATTTGCAACAATAGCTCCACTTTTTTACAAATTCGAACTATGTTTGTGAGAGATAAAATATGCCAAATGAGATGTCATTGTGTAGATCTCGAAAAGTTACGTGAAATAAAAAAAATCATCCAATTTGGATACCTGAGTCAAAAGTTATGGTTTTCCGAAGTTTTACGGTAACATAACTAACGAGATTAAGGGAGGGAGCGTCACTCAATTGAAAAAAATAAATAAATAAAAGAATGTGTGAGTGACGCGGGGAGGGTCGCGACACTCAGTGTTGCTCGGTCCTCCTCGAGTCACTCAATGACCCCTATTGATAAATACCTTAATCAAATATCAGATTAAAAAATTAAAGGGATAAAAATCCCAAATGGGTCAAAGAGCCTCATCTTATCCTCATTTTACTTTAGTATAAGTCACACCGGCACGATCCTATTTATATTTAATGATTTTGATTTATTATATATCTCAGCTGTTAAATTGAAGCAAACTAATTATCAAGATTGAATATAAATTTCTTATTCTTATACTAATGTAAAAATAACATGTCCCGTTTATATACATAATACTTTACATTTGTAAGATTTTATCATTTTATTATACTTGATTTTACGCACCTTCATTCTAATTTTATCACTTATGTAAAATTGTGAGCTGATGTGCAAATAAGCTTGTGCACCAAGCAATGCATTTATCTGTTCCTTAAGATCCACTTTAAGTAAAGACCTCCTCTCAATTGACGTAAACAAATTTAAAAACTCAATATTTCGTTATTGTTTTGAAAACAGAAAAACACAAATACAATTAAAGCATTGGTACGCCTAAAGTGTTAATAGTGTATCATTGAATTATTGTTAGGTGAAATTAAATACATAATCCAATGTGTGGTGCCAAAAAAATTAGGCACCTACTAGAAACTTAATTTAAAATAGTATATACTTAGGAGTTTTAATTATGATTTGATTTAGTCATTTAAACTTTGGGATGTGAGATACAAAGAGAAAAGGAGAAAAAAACTGAGGAATAGCATTTTTAGCATAACAACTGAAAAACTTGGAAATAAAAGAAAAACGAGTATATACAAGACTGAAGCTGAAATTGCATACAAATATGTCTAGTGATAGATATATATTATATTCACATAAGGAGTAATATATACTATCCCACTTAGAATCCTTCTAAAGATTTTAGCACCTTATCCTGCAATGGATTGCAGTATTGGATTACTGCTATATGCTACAGATATATATATATATGGTTTTTCATTAGAGAATGCATGCATGTCTTCCATCTTAGAGATCAAAGCTATGACTGTGGAAATGGAAGATGGGATGATGGCGTTGTCTTGTCATACTGTGTGACCTGATTTCTTGAGCAACACTTGACTGAAGAGTTGGAGGACCACAAACTATAACACCAACATCAACATGGTCCCATTTCTCTGACATCAATGCAAATATTTCTGCAATATATATGTATATCCGGATTAGTAACCCTTAAATGTTGAGAAAATGTAACCTTATTAAAAACATGTCAAGCCCCTAGGTAGTGTAAAGAAACAATAAAGAGAGAAAAAGGAAGTGGGACTTGGAACAAGGAAACGTTTGTGTTAACTTGGTTTCTAAAGAACTTACATCCATACCCACTTCTTAGATGCAGGACTATTATTGGCTTTTAACCAAAAAATTAATTGGTTTTCTAAGAGATTAACTTCACATAACAAGAATCAGATCCATCTCAAGTGACTCAAAAATGAGCTTATACATGTGATGCAATTATGATGTAAACTTCACCACACAACAGTCCTTTCATGTTTTAAGATTAAGATTAAAAAAAAAAATGGCTTCATGAAGACATACCTTTAAAGTCTGGTCTAGAACCATAACGAATGACAGTTGATTTTGCAATTTTGTCTTGAATTGGATCCTTGGGAGGCATAGAACCATTTTGCTCAGTTTTATCAACCTTTATATTATTGGACTTATCCCTCATTGAACTTTTCTTTTCCCAAATATGCCACATTCCAACCACTAAACCACCAAAGATAACAACACTTGCAACCATGCAGATTACAAATAGTAGCCCTTTGTACCACCATTTATATACGCCAAATGGGTTTATATAGTAAATATTCAACAAACTTAGTAAGATCAGAAAGCCAACGGTAGATGAGATGACATATAGTCCAGACCAAAAATTGTTTCCTGTCCCAACCAAAACAGACATGCCACAAGCACTAGGCACAGGCCGCACAGGGCAGAATGAAGACTTAATTGGTTTGTAAATGTGTCCCTCTTCCTGCAGATAATAACAATCAAATGCTATTAAGTGAAAAAATAAGAAACCATTAGAAAGCACAAATTTGTAAGAAGAAAGCTAGACTCACCACTGGAGGATCTGATTCTCTAGTGACATAAATATTTGTATCAATATTTACTTTATCAGAAAAGAATGGACAGATTGTTTCCATGTCAATGGTTGAAAGAAGTGGAAGCTCGTTTGATTTTTTCACTGCCCAAACAACCAAAATATTTCTTGGTTGACAAGGTTTCCCCTCCCTCACACGGTGGAGAATATCACTTAATATAGCAAGGAAGGGTGAAAGTCCAATACCACCAGCCACCAATATAAGATTTTCATACCTAAGAGAACAAAATGACCAAATCATTTCAAGGTTTCTGTTATCTACAATGTGAGCAACATCGAAATCAATTGGGCATGTAGCCACTTACATCAAGTGGTATGGTACTTCATGACCATAAGGTCCCTCAACCGAAGCTGTTAACAAAACTTTTTGTGCATCAACATTAATAATGTTTTCTCTCAACCTTTCTGTCCATTTGCCAAGAACCTTAATGAGAACAGAAAGGTGATGCTTTCCATCCAAAGGACTAGAAGAAACACTGAATGGATGCCACTGCAGCCATGATAATTCCCGGACTTGAAGGAAAATGAAACTTAGAGCATTGTATCTCAAACCTACATTTTAAAAAGATTTATTGTCACTGATATGGTAATGACACCAAATTATGTGCACAAAAATACTATAATAAGTATAAATTACTTTGAGGTTTTGACAGAACCAATTCCACAGTGCCACATGGAAGGCACCTGGATGAGATTACATTGACCGTCCTTCGTGATTGGCAGAACCTCAGAAAACGATCAAGCACAAAAAGAAATATTCCTCCAGCAGCCATAGTGAAAATGAAGTCACCAACATGCAAAGCCAGAAAGACAACAAAGACTACATATAATTGGTGGGTGTAGAAAAACAACTCAAAATTCCATGTCCTCACTCCAGGAAGAGAGGTCACCCACATCAACAAACCAGCTAGAAGGCTGATAACTCCTGGGAGATTGGCAACACCAATATCTTTCCAGTCTTCTAACTGCAAAAAGGACCAAAGTATGTACAGGAAGTGAATTTTCATTTTTATTAAACCAATGTATTCGAGCAAAAGCTTGAACTATTAGTAAGAACAACATATTTTGAAGTGAAAGGCAAGTTAAAATAGATCAACTTTGAACCCTTATTAAGAGTTCCAAAATTAAGATTAGAAAAAACAGTTTAAAAACCATAAATTTCATTCTAAAAACAAGACATATTTGAGACCAAAGAAAATCATTCATTAAGGCACAACTAGGACTCACTTCTTGTATGAGGCGGCCATCCATTGCCCATGCAATTACATAGAAGAGTCCATGGAGAGTAAAAAGCACCATTGTTAGGTGTCCCAGCCATACATGATATCTCGTAGCATGTTCAAAAGGGATATCTATAAAGCGGAGAAGAACAGATCCCCTTGATACTGGAAGAAATAAAAATGCCATGCAAAATAACCCAATCGAACCCAAGCGAAGTCCCATAATTTCCAACATGAACATGCTGAAAAATGGAAGTAAACCAGGAAAATTAGCTTATCATATTCTTCAGTGTTTGAAACTTCATGAAAATTGTAAGCAAATACTTGTTCCATGATGCTAATATTCAAAAATGATCGTTATCAGTAATAATTAAAGGGTTTAATGTTTGTAGGAAATAATTTTATTTCTTATATATAAATAAAAGTGTGTAACGTACATATTTTTCCTTTCTCTTTTCTTTTCACGTGGGTTCACATGAGCGCCACTCACTTTTATGTGTGTATAAGAGATAAATTTATCTCTAACAACATGATAAACACTAAACCCATAATAAAATGCACTAACTACTCCAAAAACTTAAGCTCTTAGATAAGGTCAGATGAAAAGTTTTATATTATATATTATATTTCTAATAGGTTTGTTAAAGATATATAAAACCATTAACTTAGCCTCACCCAACATCTTAAATTTTGGGGTTGAAATGGTTCTTTACATGGTATCAAAGCTCGGTGTCACGGGTTATATCCTCATCGCCCCATTTAATTAATAAATAATTAAGTATTGCGGAATTTGTTAGCATAGGTAGGTGTATGTGCCCCTGGGCATTATCCACCCTTCAAGCTTAGTGGGTTCTCATATGAGAGGGCGCATTAGAGATATATAAAACCATTAATGTAGTCTCACCTAATAGCTTAAACTTTTGGATTGAAATGGTTCTGTACAATGTCCCTGACTTGAAGGGTGAGCGGCAAGACCAAATTTTTATCACTTGGTCATAAAGGGCAAGCCAAGAATAGTGGTAAAGTTATTTCTTTGTAACTGAAATGTAAAGAACCTTGGGATACACCACCCCAAAAGCTAGCTCAAAGGGTGGAAGTGCCCAAGGCCTTATAAACTCCACATTAGTTGCTCATACAACCAATGTGGGATTATATATCTCAACACGCCCCCTCACACAAGAGCCTATTGGGCTTGAAGAGTGGATGATGCAACAGGCCCCCAGCCTACCTGTGCTAATAAATTCCACAAGAGAAAGTGGGGGGCGGCGAGGCTCTGATACCATGTAAAGAACCTTGGGATACACCACCCCAAAAGCTAGCTGGGAGTGCCCAAGGCCTTATAAACTCCACATTAGTTTCTCATACAACCAACGTAGGATTATATATCTCAACATGAAAAGTTCAAATCCGAGAAACAACCTCTTTATAATTATGCAAGGGTAAGGTTGCATATATAAAAATTGTCCTCACTCCACCCTCCCTGCTCGTTAGGATTTAGTGGGAAGTGGTTTAGTCATCAAGGCTATGAATCCATGTCATGCAACCAACTATTCCAAAAACTAAAGTTATTAGATAAAGGTATGTGAATGATTTTATATTTTTTATTAAATTTCTAATATATAGATTGTAAACCTCTTTAAGTTCTTATTGAAGTTTCACCACTCCAATAATATCCTAATTTCACAACTTAAAATGTGTTGGGCGACATAAAGTTGCTCATCAAATTCAAAGTAGAGTAAATCTGCAGTAGACTGTTGTACCTCTTGGTTCTGAAAGATGATTGACCAGACATAAATCCAAAGGCCTGCACAGCATAGGCACAGAAAGCCCAGATAACATATGCAGAAAAGAGGACAATCCCAATGAACTCAGTAGCAGAAACAACCCCAAATGGTCCATTGACAAGCACTGGAAAAGTCCATAGGCGGAATCTTGGATACTTGGAATTCTTCTTCCTGCCATCAAAATCCAAGTCAAAAACAATGCACCCAACATGTGAAAATATAAGATATAATGATGAAATTCAGTGCAAAGATAGGGGAAGTTTGAGGAAATCACATACTCATGAAGCTGCTTATCCTCCCCACAAATAATTAGGTGCACAATGGCAAGGAATGCAATTATGAGAACTGGAGCACTGAAGATCAGAAAAATGCTTCCTACAGAATACACAGTTAACTTTGAACTCACGCCACATGGTGAAAAAAGAAAAAGAAAAAGAAAAGTAATAAACCAAGAAAAATAGAAGATAACCTGTGATTCCTAAAGGATTTCCACTGGTGGAATTGATCCACTTTGAAAACAAGTCATGCACTGGTTCTGCTGGGTATAGAAAAATAGAAGTTGCCCATGCAATGAAGATCACGCAAATCACAAACTTGAGAGTCCATTTGGTAGCTGAGACAATAGGATGTGTCTTCCTGGCATAACCAACAGTTTCATCACCTCTAGGAGAAAGCAAAGGACTATCATCAACAGAGTTTTTCTCCATGGAAGGCACCACCACAACAAGAAATTGCTCAAACTCGTAGATGGTATATCCTGCAATGCACTAATGTGCTACCTGCTTCTTGGAGAAGCACAAAGCCCCATAAAAATACCAGGTAGAAAGAGTAAAGGAGACAACTTTTGTGGAACCCATGATAACATCAAGATTGAAATATCAGAATCACTAAAAATAAGGGAAAATTTCTGAACCACCGAAATGAATTTTCATCTGAGGATAAAATAGTACTCGAGTGTAACATATGTGGTGGAATGGAACCAAGTACATTACTGTGACAAAGATATTTGAAAGATCAAGGAAGGTTGATTTAATTATACTAGACCATTCATGCCTTCACGAGGGTAAAGGCTATGACCAATTAAGAGCAAGAGAACAAAGTGGGACGTGGACTTTAGCATCACCAACTTGGGATACTGTTTTTTTTGCAAAAGTATCAGAGACGGAAGACATAAATTTCATATCACCAACAAATGTGACACTGTTTTTAAGGTTAGTTTAACATCTCATAACTCATGCTAAGGTTATTGAATGTCCAAGAGTAGAAATCAAATTAAGGAACACTGATGCATGGCAATTGGCAAGTACAAATTGATTCATGGGGTTCCACAATTTTTATTTATAGCTAAAAGATTATAAAAATATTATATTATAAGGTTTGAGAAGTATATATATATATATATATATATATATATATATATGATTCTAAAATGGTTAGGTGGGAGTATCATATATTTAACCACTTTAGGTTATGCAGTGGTACAGGGTAACCTTCCTCCCTTTGGCAGGCAAAGAATCTGGATTCAACCGTTTTTCTTCTGTATAATGATTTAAAATAAAAAAAGTGTGACATCCTTAAAAAAATTGGAAGATATATGTTATTATATTTGTGTAAGGCTACAAATAAGTCAAGTAAAGGAACAGTGTCCACAGTTTTTAAGGAGACAGGTGGCAATAATGAGAAGTTGATATTTGGAGAATGAGGTCCACTTGTAGCTTTGTGTACGCAATGCTCCCAGGTGTTATCTTTTTCCTTGTTCATCATGCAAATACGACAATTTTTATTGATTATATTCCCTCTCTATTTTTTTTTTTTTAAATAAAGGTTTATTTTAATTTTTATTTAATGTAATCTATTGTATATTATCAGAAGAAAGTATTCCCTCATATGAGACATCGAAATTTGAGCCCTTATTTTTTATTTTTATAAAACTGTGAAGCCTAGGATTTGTTTTCTCTGCTGGAAATTGAAAACTTCTCTTACAACAAGAAAGTTATTATCACTGGCGGAATCGCGCTCCAATTTAAATTTGAACAAAAATTATATGTGTATTTTTTTTTTTTAATTTTAGTTAATTCATATCATAATATATTTAAATTATATTAAATACAGAGCACCTGAACAGGGAGTATTAAGAAGAATTATAATTTTATTAAATATTTTTTAATTTTACTAAATATATATATATATATATATATATATATATATATATATTCTATTATATAAGTGAAAATTGAACACATAACCTAATACAATTTATCCAAATCTTTTACCCAAAATATTTTAAATTTTAGATAGGGCCAAATTACAAATTGTAACCCGGGCCAAGTTATAATTTTAACTGGGTCAAATTATAATTAATTATTTAATTATACATAATAAGTACAATTTGTTAAAATTTAGCCCGGGCCAACACCCGGACAACACATGGGGCCGCCACTGGTTATTATCCCATCATTTATTATACATTACTATAATAAATAACATTTATTTGATTTAAAATTTTTAAAATAAATTCCTTTTATTATTATTATTATTTAACATTTTTTAAAACTACGTATTCTTTTAAGGGGACGGTTATACTTACCACCAGGTAAGTACCACCCTTACAACTAATCTCATCACCATTAGATTTGAATTAAATCTAACGATTCATAATTATTCCTTATAATCCTAATTTTTACTCTCACATTCCCTCTTTCTCTCTCTAGGTTTGGGATATGCATACATCTCTCTCCAAATTCTTCTCTTTGTAGCGCTCTATCGAAATTGAAATTAAAGGTGAGTTCCCATTAACATTATCATTCAGAGCCACTATCATTCAAATATCAAATATGGATCAAATGGAAAATTAAAAAACCGATTCTATGGAAGGAGTCAGAAAAAGAGATCGAAATGCAAAGTATTGAATTTAATTTAACTTTTATCATGGATCCTAAATTGAAATGAAAAAGAACCCATTGATTCTGTCTAGATTTGAATAGTGTAACTTTATATGAAAAAGAATGGATCGAAAACACTATTAAAGCAAGAATTGAATCGAAATTAGGAAAAATTATAATAAGCAATTCTTGGAAAACCATTCGCCGCACAATCTTGAGAACCAGATCTGGGTTCTGTTGTTCCACTATTAAACTAATTCAAGAATGGTTTTCCAAAGAATGGATCGAAATGAAAATGAACCGATTCAAAGATCAATGATCGATTTTCAGTTTTATCATTAAGTGTTATTATTAATTGTTTGCACCTATTGCAAATTTTTTTGTTTGTGTGAGATATTTTTGCAGGAACTGAAAATCAAAGTGCTACAACGATGAAGAGAGGTGATTCTCAAACCTAGAGAGAGGTTTGCAGATCCCAAACTTAGAGAGAGAGAAAATGAGAGAGTAAAAATTAAAATAATAAGAGATAATTACGAACCGTTAGATTTAACTCAAATCTAACGGTGATGAGATTGGTTGTAAAGGTGGTAAACTTACCTGGTGGTAAGTATAACCGTCCTCTTTTTTTAAACGAGAATATTATACTTACTACCATTTTTCTTATCACATCTTATAACCAATTTGGTTATCATTGGATCAAAATTAAATTAACGGTTATAAAATGATATGAAATGAGAGCCGTTAATTTGATTTTGATCTAACGATGATAAAATTAGTTGTAAGAGGTGATACGAAAAAATGGTCATAACCTATCTTTTTTGGAATATATAATATATTTTTACTACTATAAAGAAGATTTTTATGTTGGTTCTCTATTATTATATTTCTAAAATAAAATTGTAATAGAACTACAAAGTTTTACGAAAATAATTCCAATAGAGTGGGGAATTAAAGAATAATGTGGTCGAAATGAAATTTAAGTGTGGGTAAGAAATTTTATATTAGTTAAAAATGGATCTGAGCAAGGATTTTGTAAGTGTGAAAGATTCAAAGACTCGTTGTCTTAATATTTTGGTTCGAGATTTGATGTGAAATCCATTTATTATAATTTGTCCCTTAGTCTATATAATGGAAGAATATCTTGACTCTTGCAAGGATATTAAGCTTCCCCTCCCCCATGTCACTCAACATGATGTTGGACTCACGTTTGAGGGGAAAATATTAGAAATAAAATTCAAGTGTGAATAGCAAATTTTACGTGGGTTAAAAATGAACAAAACTAGATTCATATAACTAGAAAAGACTTATAAATTCAATCGTTCAATATTTTAGATTAAGATGTAATGTCAAACTCATTTATCATAGTTTTGGAGAGAATGTGAGAAATAAAATGGGAGAATTTCTTTTACAATAATAAAAATAATAACGTTAACAATGATGGTATTAATATTTAAGATATAGACATTTAAATAATTTTGCCAAAGAAATATCAATTAAAAACATTCTTATAGTGTTTTTTTTTTCCTTTGCTATAGTCGTTATACAGTATCGCGTTTTAAAGATAGGGAATATACTTTTTATGGGTTTTATAATTCTCATTTAACATGAGAATTAAAATTTTCCTACACACCCTTCGATTTTCGATTTTCGTGCTGACATGGATCTTATATATAATTTTTTTTAACGTATGGGTCTCACATACTTTTTATCTCTACAACATAAGATTTCAATTCTTTTTCAACATGAAAATTATAAAACTTATTTTTTATATTATATATGATAATTTATGTTATGCAATACATAAATAAATAAAAAATCTCATTTACTTTTTATGCATTTCATGACATAATTTATTCAATGTAACAACATGAAAACAATATTTCTTTTTACTTAATAGAAAAATACTTTTTTCCTTAAAAGAAACAGGAGAAAAGACAGCACGAATTGGATTGGTAATTTGGTACCGAGTGGGACATTCATGATTCATGCTTCCTTATTAAGGAATATCTTTTGCTTCACGTGGATCGAGTGGCTGTATTTCGGGACATGCAAAATAACCAAAAAAACTAAATCGAACCATGAACCGAACCAAATCGTTCTGTAAATTAATCAGTTTTTAAAAATCAGTTCACGAACCGAACCGATTTTTAAAGAACCAGTTCATGAACCGAATCAGTTTTTAGAATCAGTTTAAAAATCGAATCGGTTTTTAGAATCAGTTTAAGAACCGAATATTATTTTGAACCGAACCGAACCGAACCGTTTCCGAACCGAACCATTTTCAAACCGAACCAAATTGATTTTTATAATTTTATTTTTTAAATTTTTAAATTTTTTTCTTTTCAAAAGAGGGTCGACCCGAATCGGTTTCGAACCGAACCGGTTTCAAACTGAACCGTTTTCAATCGAACCGAACCATTTAAACCAATTCAGTTCGATTTTTCAAAAAAAAATGATTCGGTTCAACCCATGTACATTCCTAGCTCTAGCACATTTTTAGTGATTCAGAAATATGTACTCATTTATTAAAAATAGAAAAGGACGGAGATTTAGGAAAACATAATTGTACAAAAATGGGTAAAATATAAAAAATAAATATATTACTTGTTTTATATTTAATAAAGGGTGCATTGAGTTTTCTGTCCTCTGATAATATTTTCGAGTGGCTCCTATAAACCCACATAATTATTGCTATCTATCTAAATTATACGATAGTGATTTAGGAAAGGACCACATCAACTTACACGTATTACTTTATATTTGTGTAATTTTATCATTTAATTTTAATTGATTCACTTAATTTTGTATACACTTGCATTTTAATTCTATCAGTTATACAGGAAAGTGAGCAGAGCGCCACACGTCCACGCCATGACGCCAAGCATTTTTCTTTAACAAGAAAAAAAAAGGACGCTAAATCTAATATAAACAAGGGTTCAATTTTACAAATAAAATTTATTACTCTTCGTTAAATGATCACTATTACTTAAATAAGAAAGCAAGTGCATGTTAGTTTTTTTTTTTTTTGGAAAAAATTTACTTTTTAAAAATTCTTCGAATAAGAGAGGTTTTATAAATAATCTTTCCAAAATATTCTCTAAGTATACTTTAGATATCTTTAGGCATTAAATATTTTTACATTTTATTAATAATTTTTATTTCACGCAGGCTAATAAAATATTATAAATCAATATTTAATGTGTTACAATTTAGGGTTTAGGATTTAATGTGTTAAACGCCAACTCATTAATTTGGTAAATTGCATCAAATATGTAAACAGCCTTCAATTTTTTTTAAAAGATTTTTCAGGATTTTTCACACGCTTTGGTTTTGAGTGATAATAAAAATAGAAATTAAATAATTTGATTAGAAAATTAGTTGAAATTAATTATTTAGTCGAAAAATACAATTTCATTCGATGGCGCTCTTTTAAAAATGGTGAATAAAATTAATTCCCACATGTTTTGCTGCTGATTTCTTCTCTGTTAACTTGGAGCAATGGTTAAATCTTAACATGGAGAGAAGAATTGGGAATTCAGATTTAAAAAACTATTTCTTGTTGGAAAATTTGGCAATGGAGAAATGAGGTTTGTCATGGAGTTTTGATTACCAATCTAGTCATTAGAGAAAGCTTGATCCGAAATTTGGTTAAGGATATTGATATTGCTTTCAAAATCCTAATAGTTATAGATTGTGCAGAAGAACAGTGAGCACCAGTGTAGTATGAAAATTTCCTGACGAGGGATTTATTAAAATTAACTCTGATAAGGCTGCTCATGGTAGGTCCTGCCGCTTGTGGAGGTACTATTCATGATTCTAATGGTGTTTGAATTATTGGATTTGCATATAAATTGGGAGTTTGTTCCTCGTTTAAAGCGGAATTGTGGAAAATTCTCCGTGGCCTTGAACTAGCTTGAGCTAAAGGATTCAGTAAGATTGAGTGAGCTTGAAAGCGACTCAACGAGTGTTATCTCGGTGCTCACCAATAGTGGTGCAACAGCCTGTGAGAGTCAATTGATTACTCGAATACGGGCGTGGTTACAAAAAGATTGGAGAATCAAGATTCAACATACTTATAGAGAGAATAATGTGTGTGCTGATTGGATGACAAACTATATTTTAGATTTTATGGAGGATTCTTGTGTTATTTGTATTGTTCCTCCTCCTGGATTCATTTATTATATTTAGCTGATATGTCTTCTGTTGGTAGGGATAGAACTCTAGTAGTTCATGACTTTTCTGTTTTTCTTTTTCTTTGTTTGGGATATGGCCTTTTTATGTACCAAAAAAAAAAATGGTGAATAAAAAAATTATTTAACTTAAATCATTATTAGAAACAATTTTTAAAATAGAGTTGTTTTGCTCCCAAAAATATCTCAGGTGTGCAACACGTGGCAGTTGCTTAATCCCCTTCAAACATGTAAATCAATAATTTTTGAAAACGAGATTTGGCATAATGTTTGGGTATATTCTGAAAATTAACAAAAAAAAATTTAACATTAATCATTTATCGATTAATTTAATTTAATTTTATTAAACTTATATAAGAGGTGGTTCTTTTAAAATTATTTTTTTCCGATTCTAAGACTCAAACTTCGAATCATCTGATTAAGGAACAAATTCCTTATCTTTTGTACTGATGATTGTCGATAATTAAAGTAATCTTGTAACTCTCACATAAACACAAATTATCAAGGAGGGTGGGTGGTGTGGGGGGAAATGTAGCTATGTATGTCATCTATACAAATAGCTATTTGGCAAAAAGGGAAAATGCTAATTGATATTATGTTAATATCCTATTTAGCGCGGAAGAGAAGTCAAACCACGAGATAGCACAAATTATTAAGAGCTAATAGAATACAACAAAAGAACTTAAACATGAAACATTAAATTACTTCTACATGATACGCCAAACACCTTGTTCAAGTAGTTATATAAGCTGAACAAAATGAAGTGTGTATTTGGAGATAGCAAAGTTTCAGTGCCATCTCAAAGCACAAATTATTAAGAGCTAATAGAATATAACAAAAGAACTTAAACATGAAACATTAAATTACTTCTACATGATAAGCCAAACACCTTGTTCAAGTAGTTATATAAGCTGAACAAATTGAAGTGTGTATTTGGAGAGTAAGACTTTAGCATTGGCATTTTCAGGATAGTCTCTTCCTCTTACTTGTGCCTTTACTAGCGCTTCTCATATTACTACCGGTTATAAGTTTATAGTCAGAAGAATGCATTTCATTCATCTTGCCAAACCTTCTTTCGTAGAACTCCAACATTTCAGACCTGGTCCAAAAGAAGAACCGAGTAAAGATATTTACATAGATAGATCCTTTATAAAATCCCAAGCCACTAACACTAGAGAACACAGAACTCAGAAGTAGTTGTAGATTAGGCTATCTTGTTATTTACCAGTATGCAAGGAACTGATAGGGCTCATACTTTCCATAAATTTCTTCAACATCTCTGTCAATTGTTTTAGAGCTCGAATTTCTTGAATGAACCTGCATTAACACATCTCATGCATATCAAGAGAGTTTACGATAGACAAAATGAAACAGGAAAAGGAAGAAGACAGCACCTGTTTTAAATGTCTAATAGTTTCAGAATCAGTTGGAATGACGTGGTAATATCCCATGCACATAAGTACATTGGCACGAGTAAAAGGGCCAAATCCTGTAATTTGCTTCAACTGATCCTCAAGCAGCTTGTAGTTGGACAAGCTTGCATCTTTGGAGAGTTCTTCAAGTTGTCTTAATTGAATTTTTCCTTCAACAATGGCTTGAGCAAGTTTTATTATACGACTTGCTCTATACCCAAGGTTACATCGCTTTGCCAGAAAACTCTCATCGAGGTTTGCTAGCTCACTTGGGGATGGAAAATTTCCAGTATGGTTAAAATACTCTCTTCCATTAGGCAACTGAAGAAATGAATCATCTGAACTTGGCTCTTCAGTGGCTACACAAGATTTGCCACAATGACATGCATTGCCCTCTACATCTGTTGGAAGCAAGGTCACATTCGAACTTGATGCATTTCCAGCAACTTCCAACTCTAATTTCTTCTTACAAAATGTGCCTTTTGTTGAAACACCAGAAGAATTTCTACCCTTTCTCCCAGTCACTTTAGCAGCTGGTGTCTTGGGAATGAAGTCCTCAGTCTCAACTTTTGGATTGCCTGAGACTGAAACTGCACGGGGTGATTCATTTTGCAGTTCCAACTGAAGCTCACAAAGCGCCTGAGCCATGCTCAAAGTCCTTGACCACCTGAAAGGTCTGTTAAGTTACTCACTTGAAAATGAAAACAACTTAACACAATAAGCACACAGAATAAAGATACAGATAGGATTAACAAAGAAAGAAAATGGGAGCATTTCTAAGCAGTTTGTGCGAACAGAATAAATTCTTTTTTTTTTCTTTTTTTTTGCCATATTGAGGCATTATGTCAAACATGTAGTGTACACGTTTGAAATACACTCACTGACAGTTACAGAGGAGCATGCACTTCACCATATCCTCAAACAATGTGGAAGACCTAAATACCCTTCCAGTAAAACTTCTATTTTGATGATCGAGGTGGGGCATGCTTCTGAACTCTCTAACGGTTTTCTCTTCCTCTTCAGACAAATGCAGCATTCTCGACACCTGAGCCTAAAACTACCGAAATCAATATTGCGATCAAAACCCACGAATTCAAAGGAGGGGTTAAAGAGTTTAGTACCAGCAAGGCGCTTTCTTGTTGAGGAGAGAGTGAGTGGGTCCCGTGAACCCTAACGGCGAGAGAGGCGGCGTGGTGCTGAGAAATAGAAACGATAAGAGAGGAAGAAGGGTGATCATGATGATGATGATGGAGGCGCAGAGGGCGCGTGAGGGTGTTGGAGAGTGGGTCCCAGTGATTGGGTGCCATCATGAAGAGGCCATGGCTGCAAACTGCTTTCTCCAATAGAAATTGTTGTGTTGGGATTCCCAGTGGAAGTTCCATCTTCAACTCCAACCATGTTGATTTTCTTTCTAGCTCGAGCTCGTCATGTTTTTGAAACTCCATTCTCCCACTTTTACAGCGTTACTTATTATTACTATCCTTTCTTAATCCTTACTCTTGTTTAATTTCTCCAGACAAAAAATGGTGTATATCCCTGAAAGAAAAATAGCAGTACTAGATTATGTTTCTTTATGGCTTTGGTAGCATGTCACCTCTCGGTCAATACAAAAGATCCAATTAGAAAAGGAATGTTGACCGATACTCACGACATTATGACATTCGAGGTAACGCCCGCCAATTTTGAATTACTGTTCCCACAAATTAACATTGTAATTTTTAGTGCGTTTTGTCCTCACTCGCATATTTAAAAAAAATTTCCAAAAAATTAAGCACACTTATCTATCAAGTTTTTTCTACCTATCTTGTTAGGGAAAAATATTTGTCCTTTTAAATAACACAACTTATATCCTTTCACTCTCACAAAGATGTAGAACCCACATCTTTATATTTTTTTGTCCACTCTCTCCTTCTTTATCTATCTTTTTCTCTCACTTAAAATGACATATCCTTTAAAATGATACACATTTTTCCCATCTTGTTATCATAGATAGTAGTAATTAATTTATATAAGTTGTCCATAATTTTACCATCCCATATCATCATTGCATTTGGAATCCCTCTTTTTCTCTTCTTGATTCAATTTATTTATGTACTTTTTTATCGGCAAGATTTGGCATGAGCTGCTCATTGTTCGTACCTCTTTTGCACCCGCGATCACTTCATGTTGCCCTTGCGATGTTACATTGACACGTCAAACATGTTTCAATGTTAAATAATATTTTTAATTTATAGAGTGTGTTTTATTTTCATTATTCAATAATTTTTTTTATGCTGATGTGATTATTGACATTGTATGTTGTTAAACCTATTGGTCAGTCTTTTATACTTTTTGTTCAAATGATGTAGGAATACGCCATCATTGTTAGTTAGTGGTATTTCTTTAATTGTATTACCGAGTAACAGTTCTATTCAAGTTGTTCATTCATGCAATTTTTAACTAAATGAGACAAACTGGGTAAAAGAAAGAACTTTTGCTTGTTGAATTTTTCTCTATTGATGTAGTGAAGTGATGGTTGGATTCTTTGCTTTGGCACTGAATGCTGTCAACTGAGGATCTATTTATTCGGCATTTGACAGTTTTAAGAGTAGCAAAGTTTTGTGTCCTCCTATTAGTTGATTATGGAAGAAAGAATTCCTGTATTCCTTGTACTCATTTTCAGTTATTTTTTTATCGTTATAGCAAGAACAGCGAGACAGGATTGTAAGTTCAGTTTTAATGTTATGCTCTATATGTTAAAAAAAAAATTCTTATCATCTAAATACCATTTTTGGTGTGAAAAATTGTTCCATTAAGAGTTCATAATGTTCAGTACTCCGACTTTAATATCTTAAAATAAGAAATATGCAACCTGTTTTTCAGTTGCTAAAAAGTATGAATACTTGATCAGCTTCAAATTTTGGAAAGAGTGCTTCAGCATTCACTCTTATCTTCTGTAACACTTTTTGTGTTATGACTCAGTGATTGAAATGTGTTTGTCTTTTTCATTCCTGATGCAGAACTTGGGGGAAAAAAATTAAAATATTATTATTTTAATAAAAAACTATGAAAATATAGTCGTTTTGAACCAATTTACAAATCTATTGCATTGAGTCGAGCCTCTTGTGGGTGCAACAGAGGCGCCAATGGTGCAAAGTCGCGCCCCAACCAAGCGCGACTTTGCACCATTCACACGGTGACACATGGCACAAAAGTTAATATTTTGACCGTAAAATTTCGAAAGATCGTAACTTTTGACTCGAGTGTCTGAATTAGTGATTTTTTTTATTTCACATGATTTTTCGAGATTTATGCAATGACATCTCATTGAAGGGGATTGAGACAAAAAAAAATTCCAATTTTTTTTCGAGCATCGAGTATTACTCGAGTGTTCGAATTTTTTTGACCAAATATCCTTCATTGATACCTGGTTCTATCTTGCAAGCTCCACCACCTCCATTGAAGAGAGATAGGAGCTCGCAGACATAGTGAGAGAGAGAGAGAGAGTGTGTGTTTTCTTTGTCTTTGATTCGAACATCCGAGTCAAAAGTTATGGCCTTTCAAAGTTTTATGGTAATATATCTTAAATTCGAAATAAATTTGAAAACTTTTTTGTTTGAATCTCATTCAAAGAGATGTCATTGCGTAGACCTCAAAAATTTATTTAAAATCAAAAAACGAATTATATGATTCGGACACCCAAATTAAAAGTTATGGCCTTCCGAAATTTTATTGTCAAAATAATGACTTTTTGTGCCACGTGTCACCATGTAAATGATGCAAAGTTGAGCCTGGATGGGGCGCAACCAGTCTCACATGTGTGGAGCACAACTTTGCACAAGTTGTACTTGTGTGGGCGTGTCCTTGCACATAAGTAACGCTTACCTGGGATGCGACTGAGTGCTATAGATTCGTAAATTGATTTAAAATTGTCATATTTTTGTAATTTTTTATTTAAATAATAATGGGTTCGCTTTTTCTTCAATTACTGCAGATAAGTTATCTGTAGTAAGCCTAATATGACGTCGTTTTGGGGCAAAAAATCATTGTATTTTTGTAATTTTAATTTATTTCAAAGTTATTATAGTCTTTATAATTATAATTATTTAATTTTTCAATCCCAAAATGACGTCGTTTTGGAAATTAATGCAGATAACTTATCTGCAGTAACTGCAGAAATATTATTCTGAATAATAATATATTAAATTTTTGGGAAAAGTGTTTATCCTTTTAATTGACACAACTAATATCATTTCACTTTCACAAAGAGGTGAGACCCACACCTTTATTTTTTTGTCAACTCTCTCTCCTCCTTTATCTATCTCTTTCTCTCTCTTAAAATGACACAATTTACATCCTTTAAAATGACACACATTTTTTCCTAAAAAAATTTAATCCTTGTGGTGATGGAAATTTTTTAATGTGGTCCAGGACTACCATGGTCCTTCCACTAGAAAATTGACACCTGGATTAATTTTTTTTTTCTTTCTTCTCTCACCTTTCTCCTCAACCTTTTATCTCTTTCTCTCACCACAGTCCCACCAAATGTTTTGTGCTCCAAGAGCACACAAACTTTGCTCGTGGTGATGATTGGGATGACATTAAAGGCATGTTTGGTGCATAGTATTTGATAAGGCCTGATAGTATAAGACCTGATAGAATAAGACCTGATTGTATAAGACCTGATTAAATTTTAAACTATCCAGCGTTTGGTATGATATTGTATAAGATAATATCCTCCAATATTTTAAAAATTAATATATTAAAAAAATTATTTTAATATATTAATATTGAAATGATATATTAGTTCTTGAAAATTGTACTTGTAAGCAATATTAATACATCAACCCCCTTATCAGGCTTAACCCCACCCCCTTAGGCCTGATTAAGTTATACATCATTTTGATGTATTAATATAATAGCTCTAGCCTAATTAATTAGTAAATTACATGTAATCAAATAATTAAGCATGTATTAGTGAGTAAAATTAAGTATAGGACCTATTGAAGTGAATTGGGGTCACTTTTGAGGTAAAAAGTGTACTCAGTAAAAATTAAGGGGTATAAATTGGTGTAGGCAAAAGTACCCAAAATATAAAAATAAAAGCGGAAATATTCCTAGAATAATATTCCAGACTTTTGGGTAAAGTTTGGTAATTAATGGAGTTGAATAGATAGATAAGCTAATACCCATTTTATTCAACTTAACCAAAGTTAAGTGATAAAAGAAACCAAAAACCCATTTCCCCCCATACACCGTCGACCAAAAAACAGAAAGGGAGAGGAGGAGAAGTGAGGGAAAAGAGGGAAACCCTAGCTCTCTTGATTCTTCATCATTTTGTGTGATTCAAAAACCACAACCACTCTAAATTCTTATCTCTTCTTGAATCCTAGCTTGGTTCTTAGTGGGGTGTAGTGTGGTGTGAGATTTCTTTCTCCAAAGTTTCGACCCATATGGAAAGTTAAGAGATTTGTGGGCTTCTACTTCCTTGGAAGCTTGAAGAACCATCACTCCTTGATTGTGCAACCATTGGTGGTAAGATTCTACTCCTTGAACCTTATTTTCATGGAGATTGCATGATTGAGGAAGATGATGAATAGTGTTTAGGGTTTTATGATAATGTGAGTTGATTGGCTATGTTCTATGAGGATTGAGACTTAGTATATGTTATGAAAAATGCTAGGAATGACATTTAATCGGTGAAAATGAGCTTAGATAGTTATATGATTACACTTTGAAAATTTCAAGAATATGATACTTGATTGTGGGTTTTCTTGCCATTATGATCAATGGTTGGGTTGAATAATAAGTGTGTCCATGTGATGTCTAGGATTGAGGCATTTGGACCAACCGTGAGTGATCAACCATTGGAGCAAGCTATGGAGCTTGATTAGCTCTTTGGAATAGGTAAGCTCATGTTAAGTTATAATGTAGAGTTGTTGTGGTATTGATGGATATCTAAATATTCATGGGATTGCATGATTGATGTTGTGACACCTTGATGTAGGTGTGTACTTTACAAGTTATAGCTTGAAATCGAAGTTGACTGGTTGTAGAACCTGTTAGTGGAGAACAAAGGTTGAACTAAAGCTTTGAGGTAAGCCTTCGGACCTTGGGTGTAATTCCCTTGATTGTTCAACCAAGTCCTGATTGGGTAGTGGTTGTGATAGTGCATATAAATGCAATGAAATAGTTTAATGTTTTGTTATACGTATGTGTATGCTTTGGTGTGGCATAGGATGGTGTTTCCCTATGTTGGTATGTTGCATGACGATGCGTAAATCATACTTGGTAGTTTAGCTGGCCAGTAGGACTATTTGCATCTGAGTATCCTTAGGACAACTTGAGAGCTCGAGGGATTTCTCCTGGAGATGTTGTTTACACACTGCATGGATATGTATTTATTGCATTATTATTGTTATTGCTATTACACTGATATTGAACTATGGGGTGGAGAGATGCTCCAAGGACCCCTGGTTTACTTTGATATATTCGTATATCTCACCCCGTGTTGTGGGGACCCCCTTT